AATTACTCGTCATATTTTTAATACTGATACAAAAATCTCTTGCTGTTACTATGTTGAACAAAATTAGCAGGTATTCATATTCTGTCATTCATTAAACTCTTCAATTTGTATAATGAAGCGAAAACAAGGACAGAGTTTGTCATTACAAGAAAATTAATTTTCTCTGCAGTCATTACCCTCGGCAAAAAAAAAAATGTGAAGAGAAAAAATTTGTATATCATAAAAACTATCTAAAAAAATATCGCGTAGTCTTCATTTGAATACACTATATCTATGTTTGTTTATACAGTTGATAAGAACGATACTGTCGTTCATTTATCAAATAAATTAGAAACATCCATTTCACGATCCATACGCTTCTGGATTCTACTACCATGCAGCATATTTTCGCTTGGATGTTGCATTTTTCTTCTTTATTATTTGTTAAGCATTCGAAAACTTCGTCGTGGATTGAATAATCATATCGTTATTGTTCTAATTATTCTTGAGTTCCTCTATATGATAATAGATATACCACTCTATCTTAATTTTCTTCGCTTGAATATTGTATGGCCTCAAACAACAGCTACATGTCTCGTTTGGTGGGTGTCAAACAATGGCTTACACGAGATCATAACTATTTTAGTAGCTTGGGCAGCATTCGAGAGACACATCTTGGTGATAGACAGTAAATGGGTATCAACCAAGACAAGAAGAATATATTTTCATTACCTTCCAATAAGCATAATTCTGCTTTATGGAACAATTTTCTATGGTGTGATTATCTTTTTCCCACCATGTCAACATCATTTTCAGTATACAGAAGAATGGTGTTCATCGTTGTGTGTATTCGACAATTCGATTTTTCTTTTATATCAAACAGTGGTAAATGAAATTTTGTTCACTATTCTCATTGCTCTATTCAGCTTTACCCTAATTATTCGTATTGCATTGCAGAAACGCACTCGTCTACGTCAATCAATGCAATGGCGTAAGCATCGCAAAATGACAATTCAATTACTTGCAATATCATGTCCTTATCTCTTTTTTCATCTACCAGAAATGATTGTTTCTCTTGCAAAACCATTCGATTCGATTCCCGAGATCGACATGACTTTTAACATGTACATGGATTTTATCAGCTACTTTGCCGAAATGCTTCTACCATTTATCTGTCTCGCTGCTCTGCATCCTAAACCATGGAGCCGACGACATCGATCAATAGGCAATGCAACCATTACTTTCACCAATCAAACGCGTCGACCTAACGTCAAAAAACAAGACGATGATACATGAGAATAATGAACCTACAATCGAACTATATCTATAATAAAAAAATCACTAGAACAAAATATGACTGTATCAAGTTATACAATAGACAATGCAACTACTTTGAGTGAACCAGAGATCATAGATCTCGTCTATTATTAGTTAGTAATTACCATTGTAGATATTTTATTTTCTTATACATGTATTTATTTATTAATGTTTGTACCGTGCAATAAAAAGAACACTACTAAATTTGTTTAACACTTCTTTTTTTTTACGAAGCAGCATAGTATTCTTGATGTTGTTTAAAGACATTGTATCAAATGAAAAAAGATTCTGAAGTAATTTACTTCGAGAACAAGAACACAATATAATTGCTTTTTTTAAGTTGCTTCGGTTTTAATTTTACTGAGTGTTTCAAACGTCATGGCTACTTAATAAATAGAAATAACTTGACCTACTAATCAAGGTTAATCAAAAAATTTTGTTTCTGTTTGAGATAGAAGACTTTCCAATATGTACTTGAATTTCCTTTCATTATTATAGACGTCAAATCATGCAGATTTTTGACTTCTTTTTTTTTGCAATTATTTGTTCGACGTGTTATAAAACGATCGAATCATTGGTGCACTTCTTCACAGCAAATCACTTTGGACTCTTCGAAAACTTCAATAATCTTGGAAACAAATGTGTTAGACCATTCTCTAACTCTTCTTGATCTAACAATCATCTCTCTTGCTTTCGTTTCTGTAAGAACCTATTAAAATAAGTGTTTAGAAAGTTACGATAAAAAATTTAAATGATCTATATATATATATATGTCTTCTCCTTAAAGCTCTCTGACCATTTCGGTGCTATAGCAACGTTCAAGATAGAATATTCAAATGTGCAAAAATAGAAAAACCGGAGAAATAATGAATAAGGAAGAAAAAAAAGCTTGAATGATCTGAAATTCATAATAACCAAAGAAATCCGAGTAGATATCGGAAAAAAAAAGATGCATATTATTGATAGTATCAAAAGTAATACATTTTCTATACTGTTGATAAACTTAGTCTTTACTAATCAAACTTTATGAGCTTCTTATTCCAAATAGAAAAAAGATTTTAATTAAGGTTCATCTATAGTCGAGTTATCTATGTTTATTAAATGGTCATGACTTTCGAAACGCCCTGTAATATCAGTTACAGTTTCAAATTATGCATTAAATAAATAATTATATTCTTTCAAATGATCATGGCATAAATGCCGTTGAGAATAATTATAGAAGTGCACGAGATGCATCACAAATGGCAAATGATTAACATGAGATAATTCTTTTTGATTCTCCTATGTTATTTAACAGTGATTACCATTTTTAGTAAGTTTTTGTTCTATTTTTTGTCATTCATTGCTACAAAAAGAAAAAAAGAAAGACAAAAAAAAATTTCATATCGTTTTCTTATATTTGAAGTATCTTACTACAATTTAAAGCACTTTTATAATACTATTTGACATTTGTTGTTAAACAGTTGAAACTAATGTATCAATTACATGAAACAGTCTTTTTTTTTTTGTTTTATTTTCATATAAACCAAATATGTTTCGATGAATATAATCATAAGAGACTTTGTTAAGATATTTATACTAACACAGATACAAAGAAGAAAAAAAAACCAACAAAATGAAAATCAACTAATGTCGTTTATTAATTGACATAAAAAGATGAAACATTAAGATTAAGTTTTAATTAAAGATCGTTATTTCCTCGTTCAATTTTAACGAGTTCAACTTCAAAGACAAGTGTAGCACCACCTGGAATATCATTACCAGCACCACGATCTCCATATCCAAGTGATGGTGGAATTACTAATTTACGTTGTTCACCTTCACACATACTAAATATTATTAATATTAATAATAGAAAAAAACAAAATCTTCTATCAATGACTTACTTTAGCAATCCTTGATCCCACTAAAAAAAAAACAACAAAGAAGAAATTTCATAAGATTTTTACTAATAAATAAAAACAAAATTAATCATACCCCTTTGATTACTTGACCAGTACCAATTGTAAAAACAAATGGTTCACCACGATCAAGACTTGAATCAAATTTTTTTCCATTTGATTTTAATGTACCCTAAAAGAAAAATAAATTTATTAAAATTTATCAAAATTTTTTTTTATAAATTACTGTATAATGCATATGAAGACGATCGCCTTTTTTTGATTTTCGATCACAATTTTCAACTTTCTTTTTTATACCAATTTGTAATTTATCTTCTGCTAAGATATTAACTATGATCATAAATAACAATGCAAGAATAATTAAATATTTTGACATTTTTTTTTCTAAAAATAAACATTGATTAGAATATATTTTCAATTTAATCATAGAATACAAATGCACGGCTTAAGTAAATAGAACGACAAACAAATACCTGTATCATCACGAAACAAAAAAAAAAAATTATAGGATTAAAAATATCATATTTGTAACTGATGGCGGTTATTGAATGGTACAGTCTATTTTACGAATAAGAAACAAATTTCGACAAGCGTCGCACACCAACGTCATCTACATATATTAATGATATATATTTTTCAAATGACAAATATATTGCATGATTTTCATTCTATTATTTTAATTAAAGTTTCCGTCCGAAATGAAGCGTAGTCAAGCTTTTAAATTTTAAGAAAGAATTGATTATGCAAGCTAAATTTGTCTAATTGTAGTTTGTAAATCGAGCTGAAAACAATATATTTAGTACTAATATATCTTTCTCATCTTGCTAAACATATTAACCGAACTGGATATGAAAAAAATAAAAACTTGTGTTTACTATACCATAGATTATACAATATTATAGACAGTGACAAAGCCATGAGCAGGCTAAAGACTATTGTAGATCAGAGATGTCCATCGCGGCTCAAACTCTGCCGCTGCCGCGATACGATGACTTATTAAAAAAAGTTACCGCGCCGCTGCCGCGCTGGTATTCGAAAAAACGTTTTGATTTTCAAGGCTTTGACTGGTTTGAAATAGAACTGATGCCGCTAATCGATCAGATTCGCTAAGTCTTACAGTATAGCATACATAAACATACAGATTCTGTGCAAATTCATGAATTTTTGAAATTTTTTCCTAAAAAGCTGCCGCCGCCGCGCCGCTGCCGCGACGGCAAAATAAAAATCTCTCCCGCGCCGCTGCCACGCTGCGATAGTTTTTGGAAAAAATCTGCCGCTGCCGCGCCGCCATCGCCACGGCGGCAGCGGCGCGATGGACATCTCTGTTGTAGATCCAAATACCAAAGACAAGGATAGGCTCAAATCTTTAGTTCTTCTTCTATTAGATTGGTATATTTATGTTATACATTATAGTTCGTGTACAAACGTCAAAATATGTTCCTGTCTTCGAAGACAAATACTGGCATTATTGTAGTTATACAGATTTAGGAAATATTCCATTTTTGTATGATTATATGCTATTCCTTACAGTGCCAGCGACTTCAAATAATACTCTTCCGATGTCAATGAAGAAGAATTGTACGAAAAATTCTAGTTCGATGAAATCAAGTTTTGTGAATGTTAGAATCAGTTAACATTTTTTTTTGAAAAAAAGACAACATAAATATAAACGACAGCAATTCATTTTTATTAAAAAAAAATAATTTCATGTCCATATAAATGAGATAAATGAAGTAAGATATTCATACTGTTCTGTTCTATACAATAGACACAAAAAGAAAAAAAAAACTCAAAACTGTTCATTTACATATTACGTTCATTAGGTTCTTTATAATCCATTTGAAGATAATCAAAAATATCTTTTTCAGATGTTACTGGTAATGGTTTACTTAATACACCGGTTGATCCAACTTTTTGAATTGAATATTCATTTAATTTATAACCTTGTTCATGTGCAACAATACGCATATGACGATTAAGTTGATCATTTCCAGTAAAAAAAAGTAATGCACAATAATATTGTTCACTCGGAAAAACTCTATTAAAAAATAAATATAAATTTATAATTATTTCAAATTTAACTAAATAATAACCGTATATCAATACGACGATGTAATTTATTTTTATCCATTTGACAAACACCCTATTTGTTTTTTTTTTTTTTTAATAATAAAAAAACGATTGAATAAATTGAAAAGAAAAATAAAATATATTTATAATTACCATAAATTTTGAATCTCCAATAGAAATAGTATCAGTTATAAAATGAACTTTTTTTGTTAATACATCAACTATTTTATGAATTAATGAAGATAATTTTGTTGTTGTTGGATGTGTTACTAATACATCAATGTCGGAACTTGCAGCAGCACCTATTATCATAACAAAAAAACGTTTATATTTTTTTTTTGAAAAAGTTAATTTAATAATTAAAATGAAAGTTTTACCTCGTCGATAACTACCGACAATTTCTGCTTTAAATTGATCATCAATTGCAGTGATCTCACGAAGAAGAATTGTCTATAAAAATGAAATATTTTAATATTAGTTTCATTTTATTAAAAGAAATTAATTGATAAATTAACCTCCATTTGTTTCATTTCATCACGAGGAATTTTTTGTTCAAATTCTTCAAGATATTTTAAACCAAGTTGTTGAGTTTTACTTAATAATTGATCACGTTTTGGATGTGATCGTAACTCATCAATAGATTTTATTTTTTCTTGATGAACAAGTTTATTTGCATGTGCAGGACTAAATATAATAAAGAATAAATTCTTATATCATTATCATTTATATTAAACTAATATGACTCTTATCTACACAACTATTTAATCGTACACGAAAATTATTTTAAGATATAGTCATTTTTTACAGTTACAATATTGTTGTATGATGACGACGATTGTCATACTCGAACAAGTCATTAGAATCAGAGATGGACAAAATCGCACCGCGCTACTGCTCGCGCCTAGGCGCTACGCACATCTATCTTTCTCTTTGCTCTACCAATCAGTTTCTCAAACTCCACCGAATACCGGGATGCTCTAAGCATGCGCTCATCGAAGCTCAGACTAGTGTAGCGTAGGCGTGAGCAACGGCGCGGGGAAGCGCGGTGCGCCTTTGTCCATCTCTGATTAGAATTAACATATATCACAAAAAAAAAAAATTTGACTCATCATCAGTTGTTAAACATAATGTATACGCAATAATCTTTATGAGTGAAGATGTTGAGAGTAGGAAATAGGAAGACATAATATCGACTAAATCTTGTATGAATTATTATTTTTTTGTTTTTGTAGGAACAGTTTAAGAGTTTAATAATTTAAAAAACAAAAAAAAAAAGAATTTGTTCTTACCCAATACCCATAATACGTGTTAATTCATTAATAGATGCACCTGTTGCATCACCACGATTAGTTTCTAATTTTTGTATTTTTCCAGTTGATAAATATTGTTCAATTTTTGCTTCAATTTTTTTTCCTATTCCTTCCTTATTAAAAAGGCGATAAAAAAAATGATTTATTTATTATTTTAATATTATATATTCTTACCAATCCTTTAATATCTTTTATGGTTTCAATTTTATGATCAACTTTAGCTATTGAACTAGCTGCTTTTCGATAAGCATTATATTTATGTATTAAACGTGAGACATTTTTTTCATAATCAGCTAATTCTAATTGAAATACAACAACAAAAAAAAAACAAAGAACGATTAATAGATAAAAACAATAAATCAAAATAATAATACCATGAAGAAAATCAACTAATTCAGAATTTGGATTATCAGGAAGTTTACGTTTTGTTGCCATCGTTTGAAGAAAAAATGAATAAAAATAAATCGAATGGACATATATAAATAATTAAGTTTTCATTTTTTTTAAAGTATTTCAGATATTAGATGCAATAACTATATTTCGATGAGTTGTCAAATTTAACCAGTCAGGAATCTTCAAGTGAACATTTTTACCATAGATGTCAATGTTGTCTTTTCTGTCAAGTTACATAGAAATAAATTTTTTTTTTTTTTGTTTGAATGTTTAAAAATTCCCGAGAACATTTATCCATTAATAGTTTGACTTTCTAGTCTTACAAGTGAAAAGACGACAAATAGAAAACCTTCGATGTATGCTTAATGAATTTTATGAATCTTCAAATAGAAATCTTAGCAATTACTCGACAGATTTATTACTAAACAGAATTTATATTTTAGAAAGAAAATATCTACAAAACATTTTGAATTTATATATCATAGGTCTGCCATTTTTAGTAAGGTATGTTTCTGCATTAAATCAACCATTTGTACCGAGTTTTTTTTTGTCAAAATGTTGAGAAATGTGTACAATGCATTTATAGATAACAAAATATGCGTAATACAAATTGAAAGGTAACAGAGATCATTTGATCACGAAAGTTTCAACTATTTTAAGATTAAGACAAGTGGAAAATATTAATTCATTAAAAAGCCTAATAAATGGACAATAGTGACATTGAGCACGACAAGTTAAGACATTTGAGCAACAAATTAAGCAATACAGACAAAAAAAATTAATCAGTGAAACTTAGCTACGTGACAGAATTATTAAAAATTAAACAATTCATAAAGATCTATTATCATGGTTATGTAGAAACGAGATCATCACAATAATTCATTTTATTACAATTAAAGTGAATACTTTCTCTCTCATATATCCTAGTGATGAAACTTTGAAAAGTAATCTTATCACTATAAGCGATCATTTTATCACAAAATAACCTCACATAAAAAACAATCTCTTCGAAAGAATACATAAACAAATATTAATTTTCTTCTTTTTCGCATAACTATTGACTTTCCAACAATATTCTAAATTAATCCAAATATCATATAAAGGTTATGATGGATTAACAACAATTGAAAACGTATTTATTGAAAGATGCTTTACAGATTGTTGAGAACAAATTATTTAAAGTAAAACTGTCACACAAAAAAATTATAGACTACATCGTTCAGCAACGTATTTTCAATACGTTGTACTGTGAAGACATTCTATCGTATCAAAATATTTAATGCATCATAACAAAGATATTTATAGTACGATATCAGATAATGTATGTTACAGTGGTGATTCTATAACTCTACGTAGTTATTCAAGAGATCAGAAAAATTAAGTTAATATTTGAAGTACTTTTACATATATGTCATGAACATTCAATATTATCAATTGATAATGAATTCGAACTAATGTTAAAATGTTATCATCTCAATTCATCTAATCACTATGATATAGATGCAGTGAAATGTACTGCATATGAAATGGTTTATAATTCAGATCATAATCACAGCGATAAATACAAATTATTTTTATTTAGATTCAACTTATGTAAATTTCTCGTTTCTGTAAATAATATACTTTTAGTTCGATATAGAGACATGACATCGTGTTCTAGAAATATAACTATCATATCTGTTT